CGCTTCGCCATTCTGTTAAGACACTTAAAGTATATTTTCGATGTGGGACGGCTTCTAATTCAATGGTACATTAAGTATACTTCTAGGCAACCTTTTTTTGTATGCCTTTAAGCATTCTTTAACTACGCTATTAGGCAGGCTTTTTGTATGGTATTAAGCAGTTTTTTTAGTACGCTATTAAGCAGCCTTTTATACCTTGGTTTAACACAGCGCGACAAAACCAAGAACAAACAAAAGACAAGACATTCAACAGCGTTGCAAATAGCGCTCTCGTCCGTTTTTTTTTCTTTGTCCTTGCATTGTCGCGCTGGTTTAAACCAAGATGCTCATCACCCAACTAGGCCAAACATTCCTTTTAGCAAGCATTTTTTACTCCTTAAACTATTCTTTCCAGGTATAGCCTGGAGTACTCAGTAAGGCTTTTAAAACATTTCACTTAGTTATTAATGACCAATACCACACCAGGCCTTTTTTTAAATTATATCGATTTTGAAGCTGCAGTGCTCCTGTTGTAACTAAAAATGCATATTCTGGTTACAGAAATTAATGTGAAATAAAGGCACACAGTTAAGAAGCATGAACTGTAGTAGGAATGTTTTATTGAAACAAAGAAACACATTCAGCACACCCCATACAATAGTCTAAAGGAGCGCGGATTTTTTCGAAAACATCATCAAACGCGGACCCTTTAAAATAACTTAAAACCTAAAATAGTTATTGCCTAAAATTACTAGAATTTGTGAAAACGATTGAAAAAAAGCTAATTCTATTTTTTAGTCCAGGTTATTCTTCCGCATGTATGCGGAGTTGCTGCACTTTCTTGTTAGATACTCCTTGACTGTCTTTGAAGATTCTCCTGATGACCTTACAATCACGATGATCAGAAAAAAAAGCACAAACGTTAAGAAACTATAAAAATAAAACGGTCTTATTATATTCACATTTAAAACGAGCCTTTTGGTATACTGAATATACTTATTCTTTATGTCCACTTAATTTTAGCATACGTGGGGACTAATGACCAGTTTATTGCAGTGTGATATTTAATGGCTGCGGGATCTAGAACATGCATTTTGGCCAATTTGCGAACTCTCAAGCCCCCAAATATATAATACTTCACGACATTTACCTAAAAAGTCAGAATTTATGCAGCTAAGGCAATTTTGTTAACACTGCCATTTATTGATGTGGTCTACTTTGACATGACGAAGGCATTTGACAATGTGGATCACCGGCATTTATTGGCCAAGTTAGATATGTATGGTTTATGCCCCAAGTATTGCATGCTTTTTGAGAGTTATTTGTCTAAACGCGAGAACTTGGTACGTGTGTCCAGTTGCTTATCGAACCCTTTCTTGGCTACGTCGGGCGTCCCACAGGGAAGCAATCTTGGGCGTCTTTTCTTTTTAATTTTCGTAAATGACCTCACTTTTTGTGTGAAATACTCAAAACTGTTGTTATTTGCTGACGACACAAAATTGTATGTTGGTGACGACATAAAATTGTATTGTGGAGGACTGTGCTTTGCTTCAGCGTGACGTATGCTCTATTTCTTTGTGGTGCTTGACCAATGGCCTTGTATTGAACGAATCGAAAGCAAAAATTATTTCTCTCAGCAGGAAACGTGACATTTTGCAATCTTGCTATGCTTTAGACACAACTGTTATCAGTCGTGTGTCTCTGATTAGGGATTTGGGTGTATATTTAGACACTGAAATTTCGTTTAATCATCAGGTCATGAATATTGTAAACTCGTCTCTAAATGTTTTTGGTATCGTAACGCGTATATCGAGAAATTTTAGAAATCCACAGTGTTTTTTAATGTTATTTCGCTCTCTTGTGCTAAGCCGCCTCGAGTTTTCTTCAGTTGTATGGAACAGCATTGGAGAATCTAACTCATCCAGTATTGAGCGAGTGCAAAGAAACTTTATACGCGTCTTTTATGATCGTTATTTGCAGTCCGAGGTATTTTATGACTATGAGAGAATATGTAAACAAATTGGTTTACGCTCCTTGTGTAATATGCGAATGACGCGTGATTTCATTATCTTGCATAAAGTTGTTAATGGTGTTGTTGACTGCACAACCTTACTGAACAGTGTATATTTGCGTGTTCCTCAGCGGTCTATTCGCATACGCTTATTGCTCTATCCTATTTTACACAACGCTGACCCTATTACCCGACTGCAGCTGGTTTTTAACAAATTCGAATCCAACTTAGATGAACTTGGTTTTGATATTTTTGGATGCGAACGAACATTTAGAAAGTGCATCGATGTCTTCCTTTCGTTCTGACATGTCAACATTTGTTCTTGAGATCCGAACTCCTTTTATTTCGACGTAGTGCACCACTAAGAAGGCGTAGAGCTGTTTGTGTTTCACTGAAAATAAAGCAGATGAAGCAAATGAAATGAAATTTTGAATGATAATTCAGGTTTTACCTTGCACGGTTCTAGCATGAATTGGGCGGTACCTAGCGCCACGTAGCCTAGCTACTTGCGATTACTCTGCTTTGGCCCTGCCATCTGGTGGCAAGGGAGTTAACCTCTTCTTAAGCTGCGCGGCTACGACAGAATTTCTTGTTACCAGGCTGAAATGAGCCAAGAGGCTGCTTCGGATTTGCTGTTTTTGAGAGCCGCTTTTGGTTTAGCGGGCGAATGGTTTGCCATTCCTTCGTGATGTGCGGTTGACGAAGGAATTGTGACTCGAGGAATAGCAAAGGTAAGACATAAAGTGCGCGAAGTAACTCGGTGCCGGTTGTTTCCGTTTAGCATCTCACTGCTGACGATGAGAAGACTGAGTGACCGTGGGCGCACCAACCGGGGGGGGGGGGGGGGGGCGTGTGGGGGCGAGGCATGTGTTTTGCCCCCCCCCCCCCCTGAAGCAGCCGCCACTGGGCAGGACAAACACTGGCCGGCGGCGCCCTAGGATACCAAGGGCACCGCCCCCGGCCTAAGGGGAAGGGGGGGGGGGGAGTCTGCTTTGCCCCCCCCCCCCTCCTACTCAAAAACAAGTTGGTACGCCACCGTGAGTGACCGCATGCTTTCGAAACGTAAGTTTCTTTACCTGCAGGGGGAAGCCGGCTTCGGAAATAAATACAGTTCGTGGAAAGTTCGTGTTACTTTTATATTTGCTGCTCCTCTCGCCCCGTACAATAAACTTACTGTTGTCCTTAAGCCTTATTGAGCTCGATTCGCTCGATTCGCTCGATTCGTGATGCCATAATGAGATGCCAGGTGACGGAGGAACTTTGCTACCCTTCTTTCAGGGACGAAAGTTTCTCCCTTTTTGAAGAAACATATGTGTCAAGAGCGTTCCTCCCTGTAGGGAGGACTATACTGACCCTTTTTTCTAAGAGTGCAGGGGACCCACGATGTCAGCTGTGTTACATAAGAGCGCGCCGTTGATGTTGGAAAAGCCTTGCAAGGCATTGATGTATTGCAGTGAATATTGGACTGCTGACAAGGCAGACAAGCCCGGGCCCAATCTCTTACATCTTTGTTGATGCCTAGCCACACAAAACTTTAAGTGTAGACACCGCTGAGTTGCTCGCACTCCGGTGTATGCCATGGAGTGTAAGGAGTCAAAGGCTTGCCGTCGTAAGTGTAGTGCAACAAATAAACGTCTGTGCTTGTGGTGAAATCGCTGGTAACGGGTGCATAACATATTGGTAGCTTGACCTTGTAAATCCAGGCTACAGTGGGTTGAACGAATTTGTTGCATCTCAACTTCCTCTCATTGAGCCGAGGTCAGGGCTTCGAAATCAATTGCCATTGATACAATGCTACAACAGGGAGCGATAAAGAAAGTGCATCAGCCGCCATGTTTGTTTTCAAATATCTATTGTGAATTCCGATATGTATGACGTATGACGAGTTTCACGAGGAGTGAACTATTCACTTGCATATTTGAGTGCCTATGTCAATGGCTTGTGATCGGTGAGGACAAAATGACGACCATCTAAAGAATGGTGATAATTTTTGATGGCCTGATAGATCGCCGGAAACTCCCCACTGATTCTGCTGCCGTGGGTCCTGGCTGGGCTGATCTTTCGTGAGCAGAATCCGATGGGCTGCCAGGTGTCCCGAGACAACTGCTGCAAAACAGCGCCAACAGCAATATCCGAGGCATCTACCCCGACGTTGACAGGAAGATTAGGCTAGGAAAGAAAAAAAAGAGTTGCATTGGCGAGATCTTTTTTGAAGCATTTGATCTGATCAGACGGATATGTAAATACTTGTAAATAAATTTAGGTTGCGTCATTAGAGACCCGGATGTGATCAAAAGGGGGCTGTCAATCTTAGGTTGTCTCCAGCTCGACCATGTGAATGTTCTTTCTTTTCTATGTGCCGGCTGCAAAATATGTACAAACGTAAATGGTACTTCAAAGATGTTAGAAACTTGTGAACTCGTTCTTCTGCATATTAGGGTCACATATGTCACACATTAATATAGAGATTGCTCTTGATAATATTTGTCAATTGTTTATATATTACTATATTACTGGAAACACGGACTTTGACATCAAGCGATGTTATGTTATGTTTAAAGAGGGCGATGCAAACATCTTCATTCTTGTCTAATCACTGTGGAGCTTGTAACAAGGTCACACTGCCACAGAGAAACAGACTCAACTGTGAGTTCTACAGCAGTACAACCCATCTTTTCATGTATCCTACCCCAATGTATATGGGCTTAGCATGCACAAACCAATTGTGATAAAAATCAATTTCGACATGCAGCCCAGTTGTCGTAAAAGCTACCACCTGAACAGTGTCCAACGAAACAGATGTCATAAGCTGCAGATTCACTTGTGATCATTGAGTTAGGAAAGGAACAATGAATGTCCTATGCTGCTTGATTACCAGTGAAAACTTGAGTTACAAGAGGCGGCGACCGGAACTCAGAGAATCTGGTTTTGATTTTCAGTGTTTATCTGGATCATAAATTTATTTTGTGACAGAAACCTTTACAAATGTTCTGAAACTTACCATTTAGCGCTAACGAGGATACATGAAACCAGTTGTGGTTTCAGAAGAAAACTCCTCTCTTATCCTGCCGACCACACATGCCGGCAGGATCATCTGGTTTCCCCTACCAAGCCGCCGGCACAAACAGCAAACGAAATTCCTGTAAGCCGTGTACTGGTACCGTCTGCATTAAAAGGAGCCGTCTTAATGATCACATAACAGAAATTGAACAATGATGTTTTCAGAAATGTTTCAATCATTTGATACAAATGCACCACCCTCAAGCAAGATTATCAATGAAGAAAAAGTTCTAAAATAAACATTCGAATTGCCGTGGCATTTGCATTTTCAATGTACTCTGAGACGGATGTCAAACCGAAATTTGTATTTCACAAAGCAGAACATTCGACGCAAAACTCAAAATATCACTCGTACAGAATATCTCAAATAAACGGTCAAATTTACTTAAAAAGAGGATAAAAAGGGCGCAATTTAATGAAGCATGCGACGTCGTGGTTCTTGTTTCCTCACTTTTCACGAGCATTGGCAGCATATGTGGCAAGGGAGTGAAGCAAAGACCGCAACGTCAAACACCTCGTTCGATCGAACCTTTCTTCAAAAGTACAGTCGTCTGTTCCGAGATATTGGTGTATGATTAATGCCCTGTTTTCTGAAAGCTATATTTCAGTTCACCTACAGCAGAGCATAGTAACAAGCTTGAGTGCTCAGTAGCACACTAGTAAGAGAGTATACTAGAGAGTACAATTTCCATGCATTGTGCAAGGTGAATGACCAATAACTCTGTCAGGTGCGCTTGTTGTGAAACACTCTAAATATGAGCATATGGTGTTGCATGGAACATATTGTGAATGGTCTGGGCACTGAAGCTCTCACATCTAAGATTTCAACCAAGATTTAAAAACTAATTAAAACGTCATTTCATTTTCGAGATGCTGTTACAGAGCATTTGCCACTGAAGACGAATATGCTGAAGGACAATTACCAAACGATTTTGCAGTGCTGCACATGCAAGACATCACTATGGCATATGGCCTAGCACCAGCACCAAATTCCATTTCAGGATTACCCATGATTGATGATTTATTGGGTGCATAGACACACCTTAAATAACACACTCCTGAAATTTGAGGTCTGCACCTTTCCTGAAATTTCTTGAATAATGCAGTGTCAAAAGAAAACCGTAACACAATTCTCACCTGTGGATGTCTTCATGCAGAGGATGCCCGTGACCCCTGAGCTCGAAATAAAGCAGGCGGAGCATCGCAATACTCAAGCACAGCATGCTCAACTCTGGGTGCTCTGGGATGCATCCAGTTGGCTGAACGCGGGTCAGTGCCGAACCCATGTCACGGCAGCATAGACACTCTGCCTCCGTGCCATTATCTAACACGACGCAGTGTTTGCAGTTGCACCTGGATGGTGAGATTGGTGCACCTTTGAGACGTATATACAATGCAGTCATAACATTTATGAGAGGAAACACCCAATCGCGTGTCGCTCGGTACAGGCAGCGCCGGTCTCGTGAGTATTCTTAACGATATCAAGCGTTTCAGCCGCGTGCATGATACCGCTGCCAGCACTGGCTAGACTTCTCGGCGCGCGCTTGGGTGTTCCTTCTTATAGATCATCTGACTGTACCTATGTGAGTTCACCGAAGGAAGCATAGAGTAGTTTCTAGTAATAATACAACCATGAAAACAATTCGGGAAATTATATATTCCTTGAGTATAGAGTTCATAACTAACTTCATTTCGTCACCTATGCAGGTGCTATAGGTACCACGAAAGTTGCCATTGCTCAGGCAATTTTACGCCACCGAGCTTGTGCCATTATCTGCTCTGCAGAATAACGTCACCCGCGAGCCATTAGCATGAACATTCCATGACGGAGAGGACCTGCTGAAGGCTGATTGACACGACAACTTATTTAGATTACGTCATGCTACGGGAGCTACAACCGGGGGTTGCCGCAAAATCCGTGCTTCCCATGCAGCTAGGCAACCAATTCAAGGTGTAGCTTGGCAAGTGAACACGAAGGACAAACATTGCTTTGACTCATGATTGTAACATAACGTGCCGAGGCGAGAAAACGCTGCCCTTTGAATGAGGCTTTCAGCATTGCAGCTGACAAACAGAATGCCCGCGGGCTCCGGTTGATTCGGCAACGATGCTTATTATTCAAAGCGATTAGAAGACGATCTAAAAAAAGGACATTCCAGCGAAGTCTACAAACGAACACATAGGTAGGGGCAGGAACCCCGTCAAGCTACTGTATTGTAGCTTTTTGTTCCTGCCCTGGCATTTTTTGCTCGACAAGGAATGTCAAATAAAGAATTTGAATTTAAACAACGTCCTTATCATTCGGTGTTACCGTAACGACGTGTCGGTAGCGGAGGCGAGCTGCGTGGCCACGAATTACTCTTGGTCGGCGGCAATTCTGGGGCGTCCTCGTAAAGAGACATTCCAGAGTTTCGCGTCCTTAGGAGCACCTCCCGTTCTGTGGCTCAACAGTGAAATTAGTTCAGCTAAAATTGGTTACTACAATTATATTTTTGGTTAACACCTTTCTATTAACCTAAAAAAAATGGAGGCGCCTCGAACTACTTCTCAATAGAAACGTTAAAACTAAATGATTACAAGTTTAACAGCTAAATGGCTATGTACTATTAGATTCCTATTTGGCTACAACGTTTAAAATTTTTTTCCACTAGCAGGTAAAAGTCATTACAGTCCTGACGTTTTCGGTTTCTTAGGTGATAAATTAACAGCTTTCTTTTTTAACCAACTGACAAATTTGCAGTTTCCTTGTCCCCAGCGTTGGCCTCCTCTGATCATTCAGCACTAGAGCTTTGTTATCCAAAATGTGTTGATTCAAGCCATGTCGTTGCAAGGACATTAAGCTCCTGCGAAGCAAACCTATTGTACAAGGTTCATCTTGAGAGGGTGTAGAAGACTCGGATAACCTTGGAAGGGCCTGACGATGACAGGCACTGCAAAGAGCGCCGTCAAACTTTCGCGGAACAAGAACACCGCAATAAGTGTTAGCATGTGCACAGAAGTATTCTCACCGAACTACGCCATGGATAAGCAATACTAAATAAGTCCACGTTTTTACGTTCGCCCGAGCTCCGCAAAAATCAAGTATTTTGGGCATTTTGCTAACATTTTATGCGCCCAAACGCTGATACGTAGAATTTCAAGGGTCAATCACCTCCAGGACAGGTCTGGGAGGAAAGACCGGTGAGCGAATTTCGGCAATCGAGGAAGAAAACGGCGAGTGACGGCAGAACGCTGTTGAGACCACCGGTGCATGGACCTATCCCTTAGGTCCAGCACGTCGACCCACGCCGGCGGCGCCGGGCCTGCGGCGCCCGTCACCCCTTAGCCTTCGCCGCCTAAGTCAGCGCACCCGAACAGGCAAGTGATCATGCAGAAAGCTGCGGACACGAAAAATTCCGAAATGGAGGTCACCGAGGAACCTGGGGCGAGAGCATGGCCGAAGAAACGACGACTAGAGAAGAGGTAGGACGCCGACTAAATGGAGCTAGGCTCAAACCCCCCCCCCCCCAAAAAAAAAAAAAAAAAAGCAAGGCAACACAAATGGCGTCGACGATCGCGGCGGCGGCGACGACGACGGTAACGACGAAGAGGATGTCGGTAAGGACGAAGAAGATATAAACGCTAATGTCTTTAAGCTTTGCCAGTGTGCTGTCCTGTATAGAGTTGATCGGTGTATGAAATGTTGTGCTGGTTTGCGGGAGAAATTTACAATTGCTTACACGGGGGCAATTAACTGAATATGGATTATATTGAAATTCATTTTCAGAAAGGAAATTTTTAATATTCTTTACTCTCTACAAAATTAACGTTTACAAAATGTGCTAACAGACTCTGCAAACACACAATGCCACATTTTGTGCGTTTGAAGTTTTAAGCCGAGAAATATGGCCAAATTGACGCTATGGCGGTTGCCATAAATGGGGCGTGCACAGCCCCTTCTTCGGAATTTTGATTATTAAAAAGCGTAAAAATGCTACGGGGTGATCAGGAAAAGAAAAGACCGCAGAGAGGTAGACGGTAGTTTTGACGGGAAAATTCCTAATAGATTTTCGTACAACCGACCCAAAAATGCCTATGGGCCGGAGCGATCGAGAGGCGCCAGCTTGTAACATATGCTTCGCTGTGCCTGTTTCAACAGCCGGCGTGTAGCGTATCCGTCTACACCACGTAAAGGCAGCAACGGGAGCGAATTCGCAAACAAATCAGCATAGAATCTTGTCAGTAACATGATCTAGGAGGTAGGGTGGGGCAGAACCTGTAACTTAATTTGTATGACAGCGGTTTGGAGAATTATGATATCCAATTTGGGCATACTCATGTGACCTATGTCAGAGATAGTGCAACAGGCCACTTTAAGAACAAATACAAACTACAAGAGGTGCATAGCAAGAAGTACACGTCTGTGAAGTCGAATTTTTCCGCAATTGGACGTGGCTGGAGCGCCAGCGATGGAATCGGGTGTCGTGTCAAGCACCAGGCAACGTTGTACAACTTCCGACGGCCCACCACGTCGGTGATCCCGGCGTCAGAGACGGTTGCCTCACTGGACGCTAAACTGCCCAAAGTGAAACTAATCTACCTCCTGAAAGCTGATGTCAAAGCGTTCAAGCACATTAAAGCAAAGGAGTGGGACCCTGCTTCTGTTGTGCGCGAAATTCAGTCCTGTCACTTGCGGCAGCGTACGCGGTCCGACACTTCGCAACCACAGCTGTTTTAGCAAGAACAGTAGACGGAGAAAATATATATCTTTGAAAGTAAAGTCTCCATGGCTGTGAAAAGCAGATCGAGGTCGCGAGCTTGCGGTGCCACTGAGAAGAAACGAACAGTGATCGCTGTTCCAGTGCTTTCTCTTCTGGCACTCCGAGAATGTTCCTCCTCGGAGTGGCAGGAGAGCACCATGACCGACTCAGGCCAGCGTTCGGAAGAAAGAATGCTCTCGACAAGCGCCAAATGTACGGACAGGATCTTGATTCATTAAACTCGTTTCAATTGTACCACTTTAAAAACGTGTTCTTTCTTATCACTATTTAAACCAGGTCATCAGCAGTGCAGCCTCCCTACGAAGTCTAGGCTCCGAAATTCACTGATTCGAAAAATCTGTATCTAGATTGTTTACTTGTGCTTCAAACTCAGCTGTAATGTTTTGTATAAATTTCGATTTTCAATGAACTCCGTTTCCAGTGCTTTCTCTTCACAGAGTTTCTACATTTTTTTACCCTTCTCTTGCCCTTGTTCGAAATCGACAACGTCCTATCTTTCCCTACTCCCGTTATTTCAATTATCTGTATTTAGCGCCCTGTAAATTCAAAAATACAAAAATATTGCAAAGCACTTCTTAAGGGCCTTATAGGACAGATTTTGAGTCTTGTACTGTGAAAAGGTGAAGAACACTTAAGGTGGCCTTCAAACTGATTTTGCAATTATTGCAAAATCAGGACCTTGTCTACATTTCATTGTATTCTTTTAAAAGGTTATCGCTTTTCAATTTTAATGGCAATTTATGCGAACATTGAGCAAACACGTCCAAATCATGTTAAAAATATTTAATTTCCAGTCTTTTAAGATCCGGATCTATAAAGCTTTTAATTGTTTTGTAATCGATAATACATCTGTACCTACTTTTTTATGTACATGTCTCTGCAAAAAAAAATGTTCAACCTAAGGAGACAGCAGTTTTTCTTTTATAAATATCCAAAGGGACAGTTTCACGCAAGTCGGAAAAAAGTGCGCGTATACCGGAGAGACTTTGTGATTTTTGTTCCTTAAGAAAAATTTTATTTTCCGCAAAAAAAGTTTGAATATGCGTTTGCGGTTACACAACAAGTAAAATGTATCTTTTGGTAAAAAAAAGAAAACAAAAATGTCGGCCGGACGTGGTCATTTGATCCTATCTGAAAACGCCCAATACAGACAGTCTCAATCAATCGTAATTTTTTTTGCAGTATCTTTATTTGCTTTTGCGATGTGCGGGCCTCCGCGACAGAGGTCTGCACAACCCGATCCCTAAACCCGGGGAAACTAAATTGGCGTATAGGTCACATGACTACAAATCTAGCGCTTGTTTTAGCAGAAAAACAAAATTGTTGTTTAGATCGTATGAGTCGTAAATTTCCCCGCTAAATTTATCGTGACGTCAAAGGGTATTCACAAACAAAATCTTGATGTGAAAATTTCCCACAGAGACTTAAAATTAAAATCTTATCTGCAATTGACAGCGAGGCGTATGAAGCTCTTAACAGTTAACTAGTTTCTAATGTAAGCTCTTAGGGGCTGCTGAATAATATCTCAGATACACATGTTCAGAGACAGGTCGTGTTTGTGAAACACATATATTGTAAAACAAACAAAAAACACATTACAAATTTACTTTTGCGACATCACATGCCCATGCGTGTATGTTACAAAAGTTAAATCAATAGCCAAAAATAATATAGTAATGTTTATTTTTTCTTTAAAGATTTGAGAATTTTTTTTAACTTGTATACTATTTGAGCGTGTTGGTGCTTTTAAACATTTAGAAAGTGGAAGTGGAAGGCAAATGTGTCGAGCACGACTATCTTCGCCAATTTTCACGTGATGGCCCGGCTTCCATAAATATTTTGTGTGTTCTTATAGGCTTGCCTTCTTTTCGTGTGTGCGGCCGACCGGGTCGTCCCAACACTATACTACATTTCATCAAAGGCAAACTGTTTTATACTGCCATAAATGAAACTTTGTTTTGTCCATATCTAGTCATTAATTGAAACCGACTCACAAACTTAAGAATTAACTCGAGCATTTTATTCTTTATTCTTGTTTATTACAAGTGAAATACAGAAACACTTTTATCTCAGGTTATATGCTGGTTTTCGTGCAACTTGTGGAGTCTGAGAAGCTCAACTATTTTTTCAACTTTTCCATTTCATGGGCAACCTTTGTTTTGAGGTCTTGTCTCAGGATCTTTCCGTTCTCGGACTTGGGAAGAGATTTCATGAAGAAAACACCTCCATACAGATGCTTGAACACTGCTGCTTGACCTTTGAAACACCACAAAAAAAAAAGACGCATAATCATTTTATTAATTTCCCGCAAGCTCAACACTCCAATCATGTAACCATATTATTTGCAGATTAAAAAGCAGAAAGACGTGTAAGTTTCGTGTTCATGTAATTTTTGAGAATTAAAGAAAAAGCATGGCACATACAAAGCGCTTTTTTAACGTATTGTGCATTGCATGAAGTAAGTTAACTAGTGTTTCTCTTCATTGTCAGTTTCAAATAGAAGTTAATGTAATATAGCCAAGTCCACCGTTAGATAATAGCCGGTCTAATATGGCATCCAGAACCTTTTTGAGGTACAGTCTCAAGTTGAGCTAGTTGGTACATGTTAGGTATAAATGGTCTGCTAGAGCATAAACACGAACACAGTAAGTATAGAAAAGAACCAACGCACCGCTGCTTGTGTTTCTTCCTCTTTATACTTTGTGCGTTCATGGTTGTCTTGTTGACACTTTACCTCTTTGACGATTGTTATTTGTACCTTCTAATTTTATTTAATATTTCGAAATCATCTGATAAACAAAATAGCTTTATCTAAGAAAAACGATTAACTAATATGGGCGGTGTTTTATACATACATATATATATATATATACAGTTTTTTTTTAAGCTTAAGAGATTTGTTTAAAAAAAGTCGTGAAAGTTACACTTATGCCGCTTGTGGAGGTGAGTTATACGACCAGGGGGATATATTATAGGGGCTAATAGTAACGATCAGTCGTCTAATTAATTAAGATTCGTTAATTAACTTTTTTATTAATGAAAATATACATTTGGTTCTAATTAGAAACTTGCTCAGCGTCATCAAAAACCACTAAATTAGTCATTTTCAGAAAGATTTTCGGCGCGTGAGAAGCGTAGTATTGTACTAAAGTTGCCACTCGTGGAGCAGGTACAAGGCTAGGGCTAGATAAGAGACGGAAAAATCGCGCGGGGCGCCTTATCGCAACC